GCGCTGCTTCCTGGGGCCCGGCGTCGTCCGCCTGCCGCTGCGCCACGGCCGCCTGCGGGCCACGCTCTTCCTGCCGCCCGGTGAGTGCCCCCGCCCCGCCCCGCGGGGGGCACAGGACCAGGCCGCCGGCATCGCGGGCCCCTCGGCTCGGTGGGGGGAGCCCGCTCATAACCCCAAAACGGCACGAGCCCTGGGGGTTGGACTAGGCGACCTTGTCTGTGTCTCTGTTGGCAGCAGGGAGCCTCTGTGGAGCAGGTGTCTGAAGGACGGAGCTGTCCTGGGGCAGGTTGAATGAATTTGGGGTTGGCTGAGGGGGTTACTAGAGCCACAGCACAGGTGCAGGGGATACACACCAGATCTCACATGTGCTCAGCATAAGCCAAGGACCTGCAGCCCTGAAGAACCAGAGGAGGATGGGCATGGGCAGGAGGGCAGAGCACAACCCCGTGTGCTTGTGGGACCAGCAAGGAAGAACCCCTGCTGTAAAACCTGAGGTGGCTCCTGCCTGGGAAGCAGGAATGGAGGAGAGAGGCCTGGGTGTGTTAGTCGTGGGATGGCTCTGACTTAAGACATAAAGTCCTTGTGCACAACTTATCGAAGTTTAAAAGTGCACAAGGACTTTATGAAGACCCTGCATATACAGGGGGAATTGCTTCTTAAGGTAAAGGACAATGGTAGCTCAAGAATAAATGGGTATTAAAAATGATCCCAGAATAACCTGAGGCTAGAAACCAGGAGAACAACTGCAGTCTTCAGAGGAGCATGGTTTTACAGCAGCCTTCCAATGGGTGTACTGTAATGGGAGCAAACAGTCAGTCTAGGTAGTTTTTAAAATAGATTGTGATAAATTTGAATTGGATTATATGACATGCTTGCCTTTGATCGCAAAGGACGAGACTTGGCAAGCCAAGGGGTCCCTTGTAGTGCTGCATCCATTGTTGTTAATTTGGGAGATTCTGTATTATTTATATCTGCAGGCAGCGTAGCAGATCTGCTGTCCTGTGCAACTTACATTAATCTCTAAAGTATTTAGCATTTTACTGAGAATTGGTAGAAAATATAGGAATCTCGTGTTCTCTAGTTATTTAGTTTATAAGAGGGCAGTATCAAAGGGAAGCTCCTTATCTCATTTGCTACAGGAGATGGCCCTTTTCCTGGAATTATTGACCTGTATGGAACTGGTGGAGGGCTGCCAGAATACAGGGCATGCCTGCTGGCCAATCATGGCTTTGCCACCTTAGCCCTGGCTTACTATAACTATGAAGACCTCCCCAAAGAGATGACAGAATTCCACCTGGAGTACTTTGAGGAGGCTGTGAACTACATGCTGGAACACCCTCAGGTTAGTTCACTGGATTGCTCTTTCCCCAACACACAGGGTTCGCATCCCAAGGTTGTTGGGAAGCTGCACTGGACACAGCTGCTGTGCTGAAGTAAAGGTTCTGTTGAATTCTGTTATTATCTACTTGGTTTGTATCTTTCTTTCTGTCATGTGTCAGCAATCCTCTGTGACAGGTCAGTTGACCGTCTGTCAGAGAGCAGAGTGCTTTGTCCACCGCTAGCAAATTCCACTACATTTTATCTGTTTCTTCTGAGGGGTTAGCAGGAACTGGTGGCATTGGTTTTTCTCAGATGTCCAGAGGGTTTTAAATCTTTTTCTAGATGGCTGTGATTAGGTAACTAATCTGTGACCTTGTTATGCGTGGCAAGCTGCTTTGATATGTGGTTCAAAGGAGTCCCCACACTTATTGTGGGGTGGGGGGAAAAGCTATCATGATCACTACTATAAATTTAAACTCTCCAGTCTGGTATTGCAGTCTCTAGCAGCTGGTTGTGGCTTTTGGTAATCACGTAGATCATTGTTGAGAACCTAAAGCACTGTTTTAAATTTTGTCTTGTTAATACTTTTCCACATTTGTATTTCTCTTGAATGTGCCCACTTTTTGCACTGTCATATAAGTGAGGGAAAGAGTGGTCAATACCAACCAATAATATCCTTGGCCAGTTACTTTCATTTTTTCATTGTTGATGTGTAAAGCTGCTGCTACCATCATCTACCTGTCTTTCCTTGGACTTGGAATCATCAGAATAGGGCTCCTCTAGAGAGCCTGTTGTCCAGAATTACTATGACCTAGCAAAGGTGAATCAGCCGTCTGGGCTATGCTATTCAGGCAGTTGTGGGGAGTTGTATTTACTCCAACATCTCAGCATTCTTTATTTTCTGTGACAGTTTTGCTTTTGAACGGCACAGACATCCACACTGAAGACTGGTTAAACTTCTGTTGGGTAAATGTGTTGCTCTTCCATGAGTCTGACCTATACAGATGTCTGTTGAGACTAAAGATTTCATTGTAACCCCGATAATGCATTTCCTGAATTTGTAATGCTTGTTTCGGGGATTGTTACTGTACCAGAGTCCATCTTATTTGATGTAAGTATTGGCTTGAAGATCTCCACAGGTACAAGCACAAATCTTATCTGTCACTGGAGCAAAAGCTGGTTCCATAGCTGGGGACTGTTAGTGAGATAAAAGTTGCATCTTTAATGCTGTAGCTAGAGCAGGAAAGATGTAACAGGCAGAGAGACCTGTGGCTTACAACAGCATCTCTAATCTGTTGTCCTCTTAAATTTCTGACATGCAGTCACACTTAACACCTGCTTAAGATAATTCTGAGAGTTATTATTTAAAATATAGGTCTTCCCTTGTCACCAACTCATAGATGAAAACCGCCTAGAACGGGGTAGGCAACATTTTTGGCTGGAATGCCAAAAAACTGCAATGTCTACCTTGTAAGATACTGGAGTACTGGCATGCCAGAAAAACAGAATGGGGGTGGGGGGTACATGGCAGAACGCACTGCATATTAATATAGTTAATAACCATAAATGGAGGGGTTTTTTTTACAGTAAATACCAGGTTTTCTAAAAATTCTAAACCTGGTGACAATAAATAAAACTTCATATATTGCCATTGTTCTTGTGTATTCTTTTTTTTACGCATGTTGTGATGAGAGGGAAAAAAGAGGGAAAGAGAAGAGACAGTAAAAAGAAATAGAGAATAAGGTAAAGAAGAGAGAGAGAAAAGGGACAAAAAGAAGAGAGGAAAAAGGAGCAAAAAAGAAAGAAGTGAGAGGAGAAAAAAAGAAACAAAAAGGGAAAGGGGGCATGTCCCTCACTGCCCACATTTCCCACTGCTACCGGCTGGGACTTGGGCCTAATGGCCCCGGGGCCATGTCCAGTGGATGGAGGCAGTGACACTCCAGCAGCAGCCTCCAGGGCCAGAGTGCTCGGGGCTCCCCAGCGATCCTGGAACAGGAGGAGCCCAGCCCAGGGCTGGGAGGGAGGGCTCAGGAAGACGGACACCCCATCCTACATGGGTGGGGGCAGCATTTGGGTGGCTTAGGGTGAGCTGCTGTGGATAGGCCAGCCTGCCCTTCCCCTTGGGAAGGCTGCAGCTGGAGGAGAGTAGAGTCTGGGCAGGAAGTGGGGGCTGCCCTGGGACTCTGCAAACTCGGGCTCTAGTGGTCAGGCAGGGGGGACCCAGTGGCTCCCTCCCAAGGTGAGGCCTGACCCAGCCTATGCAGCTCTGCAGGGATGGACCACAGCTGCCCTGCCCATGAGGGGGTGCCACCTGGCCAGGGCAGGACACTGGGCTCAGGGAGCTCCTGGCTCCAGGCTTGGCCTCCCTGCATGCTGGAAACAGTGCGAGCGGGGCAGAGCAAGGGCCCGGCTGCAGTGCCTGTCCCTGGTGCAAAGGCCCGGCTGCAGCGCCTGTCCACGGAAGCCTCATGAGTCCTGGGAATAGCCTCTGTGGGCAGCTCTCAGGGCTGAGCTGGCCGCGAGTGTCCAGTGTAGCAGCACTCTGCAGTGCCTGTCCAGGCCTAGGCTCCAGCCCCTGGAGGGGAGCTGCAGGTGGGTGAAGCCAGGGCCTGGGCATGTGCTGCAGAGGGCCACGGTGCTGGAGGCTCCCAGTGGGTGGGTGGACCCTGGGCCTGGCTGGGGCTTGGGCAGACAGATGCCCCGTCCCATCTGGACGGGGTTTGCACTGAGGTGCTAAACGCCGGGGCCAGGGCAGCACAGGGAGAAGCAGGTGCAAGGGGGAGGCACCACAGGCAGGCCAGCCTGGCCTGGCTCTTGGGAAGGTAGCAGCCAGAAGAGAATAGGGACCACATGGGAAGCAGGGGCTGCCCTGGGGTTCTGCAGGCTTGGCCTGCAGCCGGCGGGCAAACAGAGGTACTGACCCTGGTCTGTGCAGCTCCATGGGGATGGGCTACACCTACCCTGCCTTTGAGGGGGCACTGCTTGGCTGGGGCAGGACATTGGGTTTGCGGGGCTCCCAGCTTGGCCTCCCTGTATGCTGGGCACAGCATGTGTGGGGCAGAGCTGCCCCTGGTGCAGGGGCCCAGCCATAGGAGCCCCCCGGGCCCCAGGAACAGCAGCCGTGAGCAGTGCTCGGGGCTGAGCCAGCTGGGAGCCTCCAGCCAGTGGCCCTATGCAGTGCCTGCCTGGGCCCTGGCCCTGCCCACCTGCAGCTCCCCTCTAGAGCCTGGGCCAGGCTGGGGGGGGTGCAGCCTGGGGACAGGGGCGGGGTCAGCAGAATGCAGACAGCTTCCCATGGTGGGGGTAGGATCAGGAGAATTCCTGACCCTAACCCCCCATGCCTGCCGCAGTGCTGGGACCTGTGGCTCCTCTGGAGAGCCTGAGCAGCAACTTGAAAAAAAAAAAAGTAAAAACAATTTTCTTGCACACCACCTGGCATGTGTGTTGGGGATTGCCTATCCCTGGCCTAGAATGTCAGTGTTTTAAAATGTATGTAGTTCTTTGTAAATTTTTAAAGACATTCACTACCCACTAACATGCAAAGGATGCTTCCTCTGGCTATAATTAGATTAGGTGTGATCTCCTGTCTTGTAAGCTGGGCTGAGCCAATATTTAGATGATAGAATAATAGAGGGGAAAACCAGAGGCTACCACAGAAAACTTTGTTTCAGACTGAGTTGCCAAAGTATTTTTGTCCTAGAAGCTATTATCAGTTAGTTTTAATACTGTGACTGTGCATTGTTAAAATGTTTGCCCTGCCCTCCTCCAAGTGTTGCAGCAGTTAAAAGATGAAGGGATTTCTGGAAAGTAATTGCAGTTTTCAAAGGATGAGCTCTTGGGGATCCATGTAAATGAAGGTGATACAGCAGTGTAAGATTACTACTGTTTCAGTATAGTCCTTACAGTTTCTTTTTCTTTTCCTTTCAGGTTAAAGGTCCAGGAGTTGGCTTGCTTGGAATCTCCAAAGGGGGTGAGCTATGTGTGTCTATGGCCTCCTTCTTAAAAGGTATTACTGCGACTGTTGTCATCAATGGAGCTGTGGCCAATGTGGGTGCAGTGCTTCGCTACAAGGATATCACCATTCCACCTCTTGGGTTCGACCAAAGGCGACTTAAAATTGACAAGTCTGGGCTTGTAGATATTGTGGACACGTTGAACAATCCACTAGAGGGGCCTAACCAGCAAAGCTTGATCCCACTGGAGAAGGCTGATAGCCGCTTTCTGTTCATTGTTGGCAAAGATGATCGTAATTGGAAGAGTGAATTCTTTGCCATTGAGGGTGCCAAGCGCTTGGTGGCTCATGGGAAGGAGAAGCCTGAGATAATCTGTTATGAAGGAGCGGGGCATTACATTGAACCCCCCTACTTCCCAATGTGTGAAGCCTCCATGCATCTGCTTGTGGGCAGCACAGTGGTCTGGGGAGGTGAGCCCAAGGCTCACTCTGAAGCCCAGGTGGATGCTTGGCAGAAGATCCAAGCCTTCTTCCACAAATACCTCAATAGCAACCAGAGTGAAACACCCAGCAAGTTGTGACACACTTAGCTGTGAAGTTGTTCCATGTACAAGGTTTCTGGAATTTCAAATTTGTTTTAGTGAATGTATCTTTGAATGAGAATGAAAGAGAAATTGAGAGAATAAGATATCCTGGCTTGGTTTACAATGGCAGTGGGTGGGTGGGGCAGATACCTGGGGTCTAATTATTTGTTTAATAATATTTTTTCTTCCAGTTTTTCTGCTGCCTTAGCTTTCTGGCCTGCACTTCCGCTCTGTGTGAAGTGGGCTAGGAACTGGATGAAGATGATGGATGCAAGATAGGCCTCCATTTAAGAATGATTTTAAGTGAGGAAAGTGGTCCAACCAAGTTGAAAATTATTCAGATTTATTTCCTCAGTAAGTGTAAGGTGACTTTAGTCTTTAGCATCATCATTTTTCCTTCCATTTCTGCTTCTGTTTATCAGCTTTTGTAGAAGTAGGCCTTCTCTGTAACTTCTCAGCCAAGATTTTTCTCCTATTATTTTCTTCTATCTGCAGTGATACAGTCTGCTTCCCTTTCTCATTTTTTGCCTGACTGTTTGATATTCCTGCATGTCATTGTAATTTCTCTGCTTTAAACATTGTCAGCATTTTTATATCTAACAACAGTGTTTTTTGTCTCCCAGAGTTAGCAGTATTGTTGATTCCTGATCAGACAATGAATGGATCTTTCTGTCTCTAGAAAAACAATCAAGTGCTGTTGGATCCGTCACACCTGATGCATAGGCAAATAGCCTGAATAAACAATTGGTATGAAGAGCACAAATTACGTGTTTTCTCAGTGTTCATTAACTTATAAAAATAAGGAACCAGCAGCACTGTTCTGAGCCTGTTTTAGCTGTGCAAGTTTGCCCACCTAAGCTATGCCAGGTGTCACAATGCGGATCCACAAACCTTCCTTCTATTGACTCTCAGCCTCTGTTGGCCAGAGGCTATTATGTGCCAAATCAGATGGTTTTGAAGGGAGAATTGGGCCCTTAAGATACATGTAGTAACTCATTTCACTTCTAAGCTAAGGTAGATCTAACCTTGGTCACTAGAAGAGTGACAAAAATAGGAAAAGTAGTGGAATGGTTATGTTGTAACACTACGGCTGTTTCAAAATGAATTATAAAGTGGACAGCCCCTCATCACTTTTTGTACTATTACTCTACCCCGACATATCTAAGGAGAATTTAGAGGATTAAATTGGAAGGGAAGAACTGAAACCAGAAAACACATGGCAATTGTTTAAGACATGCAACCATGGCAACATTTTATTTTGATTTTTTTTCTCTGTGTGTGTTCTCACAATCTTATCTGCAGACTTTACTGACAAAAGATTTGTCTGTTTGTTTTTTAAGGTGTGCAGAGCAACTACAGTTCCACTTAATTTTAACTAAAGTTATAGGTTTGCAGCCCCTCTGAAAACTGAGTACTATGTTTTTGCTGTTTGCCGTAGTTCAGATCATCATCGCCACAGCTCTGGATTACATTTTTTTTCTCCTTATGAACAGAGTTGTTTAAAAAAAAACAACCAAAAAACCAGCCCCCCCCCCCCAACCATTCTAATTGCTGGGTCTATATTGCTGATAGGAAACAGAAAATACTCATACTGACTTGCAGAACTAAGATTAGGTTGGCTGGGCTGACAATTAGAAAACAGCATCTTTTTAATTAAAATGGCACAGGAAAATTCTGCCATTCTTATATAATTACTTTTCAGAGTATATTTTTTGCTTAAAAATAAAGGATTTCATTTGAAGGCATTTACAAATAAATTTGTTTATGGCATCTTTGCAGAAAATGCATTAGAACAGATCAGCCCTGCTATGTACATACTAGTCATGTTGGCAAATAGCATGATATCGTGGAAAACATGCCCACAAATAGTAGCTCTCTACATTACCATCAGTGAGAGAGTTTTCAAAAATGCTGATAGCAGAGATGCCAGTTTTGACAAAATTTCTGTTCCTGAACTTAATGAACTTTGCAGTATTCATTTAAACGCCTTCATTCCTCATAGTTGTTTAGATTTCTTAGAAAGAATGGGCTGCTTTTTTTCTCATAGAGCAAAGTGTAGGTTGCATGTACTCATTTTATTTATAATGAGCAGTGAGGTGGTTAGCCATGTTGGTCACAAGTCAGGAAGAAGGTAAAGCAGGGTGGCATCTTAGAGACTAACTGGTTCAGAGAGGCACGAGCTTTCAAAGGCACCTTAGTCAGGTGCTATGATTTGGCTAGCATCTGATGAAGTAGATTGTTGCCTATGAAGATCATACCTGTCTGAACCAGTTAGTCTCTAAGGGTGTCTATACATGTGCTCCAACATGTTCCAACATAATTCAAATGCAATTTATCGAGTCTGCTTCCATATTCTAATTGGAATGCTCTAGCATCACCACAGCATCACATGTATAAGCTCCCATGGGTTTAAAAATGGCTGCTGCGGTGATTTAACTGAAGCTTATTGAATGTGCTTTAGTTAAAGCATCCTGCATTCATTTTTAAATATACAAGGGATTAATACATGTGATGCTGTGGCATTTTAATTAGAGCAGCTCTCTAGAAACTGCTCAAATTAAAGCACCCCACCTTCCACCCCCAAGCCTGTATAGGCAGCCTAGAGTGGCATCCTGTCTTACCTTCTGCTTGACTATAAATAATGTACTTGAGTTAGTTATCTGATCTAAGCTATACGTTTCAGTTTTCTGAGCAACCAAGGAGAGAAATCCACTACAAGAGGGGTCTTGGTCTTGCAAGATAAAATTGGATGAAAAATATTTCTGTGACTCTCAGTATTTCACAGTTCAGTGTGAGCACAGATGATTGTAGGACTTAGCCAAGGAAATAAACAATGGAAGGCTTTGGTCTGTTACTGTGAGGCAGCCACTGAGGAATATTTTCTTCCTCCCCATCTCTTTCATCACTACTAAAACAGCTCTGGGCTATTGCGCATTACCATTTCGAAGGGCTGTGAGCTGTTGCTTGAAGTGCCAATTCCTCCACCCTGGGAAGAGTAAAGAGCTGTTCCTGGGTGTGGGGTTACTGCTGGACCCCTAGGGACTTGACTCCGGATTTTTTTTTTCTTCTTTCCTGGTAGAATATGATCCATTTCAAAGTAATGCCACACCAACTTCAGACTACTGTATGTAAGTTAAATAATAAACGTTATAAGCTTCTAAAAACACAACTTTATGTTTATTGGGCTGGCAGCTTTTGTCTTCAGATATTCCATCTGCAACAAGCATGCACATGTCCTGTCAGGACACATACAGTTAGTTATCAGAGACTTACCTAGAAAGGATTTGTGCCCTGGGGCTGCCATTCTTGTACCTGCTCTTATTTGGTGCCTAGGGCTGGTGGCCTGCTCGCCCACCCCAGATGCACTACAGTTAACTTTGTTCCCTCTTAGACTTGCAGGGGCTGAGCAGGATTTTTCCTGCATTTGCTTCTCCTAGATAGTGAGAACTACTGGGGCGTTAGATGCCAAAACTGACAGGAGAGAGACTGTCCTGTCCCTTAGTGCCTCCACTGCTGGCACCCTGGTAGTGTAAAAGTGAAGGAAGAAGCAGTCAGATTTGGCAAATGTAGAGGAGTGAGGAGAAAAGGACAAAGGCAGACTAAAGGACAAAGGCACATTGTCACTTCAAGATCCAAATGAAAATCAGGAAAAACTGTCAGAGGTGACTAGCTGGTCTTTGCTCTTGCTCCTTTGTTAACTGAGGACTAGACTACATGGAACATGTGAAGATTACACATGGATAATTTGGTTTGTTGAGGTTCTTGTTGCTATTCTTGTCATTATTCACCAGGCAAAGTTCTGTCAGCTGCAACATTTAAGTTAAAGAGAGAACCGCGGGACACACTGAATTAGATAAGACTGATCTTTTAAGACAGATGATCACCAGTGTCTTGCATATCTTTTTCCATTCCATTTGGCAACAGTATTGACTTGCAGGAAGGAACAGAAAACCTGGAGGGCTTAACTTGTAGTATGTTACATATAACAGCATGTGACATATTGAGTATATAAAGGAAGGTCCAGGGAGCAAATGAGGAGGAAGGGGTGAATTAAAACAGTGAGGAGTCCCAGATACACTGCAAATAGTTTCCATGTCACTGTGCTGTAGCTCCATTCTTCCTTGAACTGGCAGCATATCTCAAGAGGAGATGAGGGAAACAGTTCATACCTTTTGTGGAAGTACTGTTTCAGGTCATCTATATGCCCTGGTGTCAGGTACCTTCTGTGTTCATGCTTTCAAGTTCTCTGCACAAGTGAAGGTTAAAAACATTTTGTTTAATTGCTGAGATTTATTTTCGTGGTGTGAGGCCAGAAGTTGGGGCTCTAGCCACTGGGTCTATAAAGCCAGATACAAAAAAAAAAAAGAAAAAGGAGAGAAATTTAAGAGACAAATCTAAATGTGCACTCCTGAAAACTCATGTCCAGCCACCACCTAACCCTGGATGAACCTCAGCTGTGTAGGTCCCTTTGGTTTGGGCCTTTAAACTTTCCCAGGTGTCTAAGTTGTGCTTCTTCACCAAAGCATCTCGGTCTTGATGAGGCTGAGCAGCTTGGAGCCTCTCGCACCTAAGCCTTGTCAGAAACTCTGTGTTTCTTTGCCTAGTTCCTGGAGGGACTCAGTTCAGTAGGTTGGTCTTAGAGCACTCTTAATGGATCAGCATCACTGCAATGCAGTGGGAGGTGCCCTACTTTCAAAATGGAAGAGGAGAAGGCCCTGGCCCTCTTTTTATATAGCAAGCTAGTGGACAGATCATTCCTGGGGGGCTTCAGAAATTGGGTTCTTGCTTTGAATGATGAATAAATCAGGGACCCCAGGATTGATTTTAGTTGGCTTTATTAATTTATGCTCTTTGTTCAATCTCCCCAAGGCCAGGAGTACCCAGTTTGGGATTCTCTCAGGGTGTTGCTCCTGGATCCTGCTTACCCATCTTTCAGCATTTAGTTGCTTTTGAAACACCTGGCAGCTGGGTCTTTCCCCAAGTTAGATGCCAGGGCTGAGGCTGGTAGGCAGGAGGGGAGGGGAAAGCACACTTAGCCTGCATCCAACTCCACCTTCGCTTCCTTTGTCTCCCATCCCAGCCTCGCCTGGGTGCTGGGCAAGCTCCCAGCAAGAGAATAAAGGGCCTTGTCGCACTTTCACTTGCAAGAGCTGCAAAGCCTGGGGAGGCAGCAGCCGTCAGAGGGGGCTAAGGATCTAACCCCCTCACCTCACAGGGAGGAATGGGTTGAGCCTACCCTCAGTGTCCAGCGTGACACTACCCTCAGGGGAGACCCTGTCTCCACCTGAAATCTGCTCTCTTGACATCTGCACCGGGCACCAGTCTCTGGGAGGGGAGGACTGGTCTTTCCCAGACACCAGCTTCCCCCTGACCCGACTCCCCTCCCCTGCAGCTGCTGGAGGACTGTTGTGTCGTGTTGTGAAGGGGCTGTTGTGTTGCACTGCGGTGCGTCCTCCTCACCGCTGCCAGCAGTGAAGGAGGTGGGCTGGGGAGCGGGGCGGGGCAGCGCAGTGCTCCTGGCAGCTACACGGGGGCACCGCACCACCCTCCCCACTCGCTCGGCCAGCCCTGCCGGGCCCTAAATATGAAGTGATCATAATGGGAGCTTAACATGATCATATTCGTTGAAAAACATGCAAACACGTATTGTTTATGTTGCCTTGCCCACCGCAGCGAGTGCGAACCGGGTCACTGCAGTTGAAGCTTTCTTTGAGGCGAGCAATCAGAAGTGCTGGCAACACCCCCAAAAGTCAGCTCAGACTCCCCGAGAGGAGTACCCGGGCTGTCTCAAAAACGATCGTACTTTTTGAGCAATTTTACCATTATGTCTTGCTTGCGCGTGGTAGAGGGTTGAAGCGATGGCACCGATACGGTCATTACGGTACACCAGGCGACACTGCCCTCAGCCCACCGACCCGCCTGCGCTCGATTGAGGCTGGCTGGGCGGGGCGGGGCCGCCGCCTCACTCAGCTGCCGAGCGGCGGTGGCCCGCACTCAGCAGAGGCTGCCTAGTGCGGCCATGGCGGCGGGCGGGCTGTGGCGTGCGGCGGTGGCGCGGGCCGTGTCGCT